GGTACCGGAGAAAACCAAAAAAAAAAAAAAAAAAACAACGAAAATATTATTTAACAGTTAGACATAGTGATATAATGAATACAAATATGTACCTAAATGTTTTGAGTATTTCTGCAAAGTAAAATAAAGTACCAACTCAGTAATAAAATCATTCTAAAAAGGAATGTTCGAATGATAAAAAAATAATTCTGCCAATATCCTTTATAAATACCACAATAACTAAAATTAATACAGTGTAATGATAGGATATGTAGTATACCTACTAGAATTTCAAAACTGTCAGTACTTTAAATGTTTATCTAAATACTCCAAATGTTCAGAAATTAAGAATATTTGAGTTCCTCAGTGAGTTAAACATAATGATTACTACAAAGCCCAGCAATTCTATTCCGTGATATAATTCAATTCCTACTCTTTGTTATATGCCCAAGGTAAATAAAAACATATGTTTATTCAAAAATTTTTACATGAATATTTATAGCTTTTTTTTGTAATAGCCAAAAGGTAGAAATACTGCAACTCAAATGGCTATCAATTGATGACTAGGTAAATGAAATGTGTTACATATATACAATAAAATATTATTTGGCAGAAAAAGGAATGAAGAACTGATGCACACTACCACAGGGAAAAACTCTGAAAACATTGCTAAGTGAAAGAAGCCAATCACAAATGACCGCACGTTGCATGATTCTGTTTATGTGCAATATCCAGGAAAGCCAAATCTACAGAGACCAAAAGTAGATGAATGGTTGCCCTGAGTAAGTCATGGGGAAAAGGAAAATGATTTCTAATGGGTACGGGGCTACTTTGGTAATAATCAAATGTTTTAATTGGCTGTGGTTATGGTTGCACTGTATATTTTAAATGAGCAAACTGTACAGTGTGACTATATGGTATTTAAATTACATCTCCAGAAAGCTGATTTTAAAATTTAAAAATTTTGGATTTGTTGCTCTGATAAAATGACATTTGACTTGAATTCTTTATGAATTCCTGATGCTAGGTTTTATATACCAGAGTAAATATAGAATGTCCCTTGTATGACTTTCCGTGTGTTATATAATGAAATAATAAGACAGAAAGTCAAGTCACTTACAAAACTCACGCATTCTTCTATTTAATCTTTCACTTCCATAATGTATACTTAAAAAAAAAAAACTCAGTAAATCCATATTAATTCAGCTTGAGGATTAGCAACTTTGTCCAACATCATAGGTACTTGACAGACTTGCTCTACAACATCATTCCAATATTTACGTGACCAGTCAGATTTATAACAGAGGAATTTGATACAGATAAATAATCCTGAGACTGTAAACCTCCAAAATCACTCATTCTCTTTTGCTGATTCTTCTCTCTAAATATCTTTTCTCTATTCCTACCTTCACCTAAATACAATTTTACATCACTTCCTACTGAAAATACTGCAACAACCTGAGTGCTCTTTGTTTCTCTTTCCTCAAATTCTCCTCCAACAGTGAACAGTAATATTTTTTCAAAAGTAATAATTATTTTTAATATAAAATCTGATATACCACCTCCTATTTAAAATCTTCCATTATTTTTATATCATTTATAAGATAAAATCCTAGGATCTTACTAAGCATGGAAAACTCTTTTTTTTTTTTCTTTTGTCTTTTTGAGACAGGGTCTTGCTATGTAGTTCAGGTTGGCCTTGAGCTCACTTTGTAGCCCAGGCTGGCCTCAAACTTGCGACGATCCTCCTGCCTCAGCCTCCAGAGTGCTGGGATTACAGGTATGCACCACCACGCCCAGCCTGAACATAGAAAACTCTTAATAGGCTACTTTTTTGATCAACTTTTCTACTCTCTTCTCATATATTAAATGATTAACATTTTACCATTCCTAAATACTTCATATTACTGTCTCCTCTGCATCCATGTCATCTGTTTGGTATAGGATGTTCACACTCTCTTAAACATCCTTGTCTTATTCCCTGCCAAAATCCTACTCATATCTAGGCCTCATCTCATGCAACACCTCCTCTGGGAAATCAATCTGATTTACAGGGCAGTGTTGGGTACTCCTTTTTTGTTGCACTTGTATATTTTCTAATTAAAGCATTTATTTTACTACATGGCAATCTTTTTGATATCTGGCTTCCTACCACACTGTGAGATCCTTGAGAAGCACGGACTATTTCTTAGAGCATTATAGACTATAAAACTCTTAATACAAGTCTTAAATGAAAATGCATAACAATCAGTAAAATGATATGGACATTCTATTTTTTTTTTTTAAAGCACATGTATCCTCATTTTACCCTAACAGCAAATCTTGAGATAGGTAAGTCAGGTGTTCTTATTCCAATTTTACAGGTAAGGAATTCTTAGTTCATGTTCCTTGTGGTAGTGTTGCTGAGATAGCAAAAATAGTGATCACCAGAACGAGGGCTTGCTGTGCCCTGTACTGGCCACACAAGCTCACAGCGCTTGTAATCTTGCTTAGCTGAAAGAAAAGCTTCATCACTGCTCTGATAAAAAACTGGAAGATGACCATAAATTCTTAAAGTCTGGTGATTTTGTCATCACCGATGTGACTGCAGACAAGCACATATGTGTTGAGCTCTATTGGCTCTCACTGCCTGCGTCATTTTGCAATCCATGATATAAAACAGAAAGTTGCTGTGTGTGTTATTCAAGCAGTGGACCAGAAGGTGCTGAAGCTGGCAAGGTTACTAAGTCTGCCCAGAAAGCTCAGAAGGCTAAATGAGCATTATCCTTCCCCTGCACTCCAATCGTAATCAGTGGGAGAACTGTCTCAGAGCTGGTCATCACAAATGGCCATTTAAGTGTAATGGTAAAAGGCTGATTAATGATAATCATGCATCATAAAACCTTCAGGAAGAAAAGAGACTATCTTTTGGGCCATTTGATTATCTGTGTCAGGCTTATTAGTATTTAAAATCTGTATAGTAATGAGTCGACCAAAAACCTGTCACAGATTTTTGAGATCCATTAATACAAAGTTAATGAGAAAAAAATTGGCCATCTAGGCCTACGTATGTCCTTTAGTCTATCACTCCAAATTCAACAATAAACACTAAGGAATCTATAAGAGGTACGAGTATATATGTGCTCCCCAGTCATGACAGCAATTTTAAAGAAACTCTCCTATTTCTCCTTGATTCTACCCTCCTGTCATTCATATCGATTTTTCATCTTTCCTATTTCTCTGATCTGATGGTTCCACTTACTGTTTTTATAAGACATTTGCTTCCCTTGTAATTCTTTTGATACTCTAAGCCAGTGGTGGCAAACCTATAGCATGCATACCACAGCAGGCTACTTATATCATTGAAACCTCTAAAAGGTTCACCATCAGAGCTCTAAGCTAACTCCAGTGTTTCTCACTGCCTTGTTGAGCCTGCCCACATACTTATTTAGTCTTAATTCTGCACTCAAGTCTTCCATCTTTTATCCTCATCCCACTATCATAATAGTAAAAAAAAATCACTTCATCTTTATGTTGAAGCAATATTCCCTCTGTCATTAATATCAGCTCATCCAATATGACTTGTTTTGCACCTCTGTAATTTTGTTTTTTGAGACAACAAATTTATCACTGGTTATGCTATCCATCTAAAAGAATGAATTTCTTTTAGGTGATTACATACAATCTAAGTGAAGCAAAGGTATAGTAATAACAAACATAATAAACAACCCCATCTCATCTTCCTGTCCCCAAGTGAAAAAGAAATATGACAAGAGTGAAAACAGCACTGAGAATAATGAAGCCTGGATTCTATTTCCAGCTATGGTACTAATTACTAGCATCTGACACTGGGCAATTTATTTAACATCTCTGAACTTAAGTTTTCTGCTATCCATGAGACCATACTTTGTAAAATACTTTTGGAATCAATACTTTTGGAATCCTTCCCCTACAAATTTAGTCCAGAATGTTCAACTGTCCTATCAGGTCACTTTCTCTACTAGGCTTTTCTTGAGCATACTATTAAATATTATCACCATATCACCACTAATACTTCTTAGAACTTATTACTAAAATACTATATATTTTACTTATTTGTATTATTTATTGTCTGTCTCCCCCACAGTGATCTATTGACTACTTCTTTTATTGTTTACTTCATCATCTTCAGAGGCCTACAACAGTCCTGGCACATAGACATATTTGATGATTATTTGTTAGATGGAAGTGTGAAACATCCACAAAAACCGACAACTTGGAAACCACTCCAATTCTAAAAACTCATCAGCTTACGAAAGCTAATCAAAAAATCTCTTCAAAAAGTGTCCACAACTACTCAACGGGTCAAGTTTCCTCAACAAAATAAACCAAGTGTCTATACTTTGCTTCAACCCTTTCTATGTAAACTATAGGTAATAATTAAAGCTACAGTATCAATCTTGATTAGTATATTTTTTCTATCATTCAATAATCCTGATTGCAAAACATATTATACAAATTCTGCTGATAACACATGTTGGCACTCAAGCCTCTTCTAGTTTTAATAAACCGCTGAAACCTTCAATCTTAACTAGCCATCCAAGTGATTCCACTGGGCCATTAGACTGGTTTTCCACCTTTATACCATACTTATCAAATTAAGGAAGAAAGTTAGACTACTGATTACCTAATTTTATTTTACTAAAAACACTGCAATACCCTGGATATTATATTTGGTTTATAAATTTCACACTGAACACCTTTTAAGACATATGGTGAAGTGATGACAAAGTCTACAGAACTTAGACTGCTAAGGTAATTTCATATAAATATGAAATATTATGCACAAATATATAAAAGCTCAAGTCAAAAACATTCCTTGATTAAAGTTTCTATAGAATCAACGTGGCTATCTATTTTTTCTTTTTGCTACAAACTCAGACCTTGCACTTGCCAGGCAGGTGCTGTACCACTGAGCTACATCCCTTGCCCTATAAACTACATTTTAAACAAAAATACAAAGAGCAATTATCATTCAAACTGTGCCTTAGTAGACAGAACTCGATTTACAAAGTTACATGTTTATTATAAACTGTAATCACAATCAATTCATTTTAAAATCTTTATGGGCAAGGAATAACATTATGAAAATGACTTAGACAATATCTTCCAATAAAATAAGTCCACTGCAAAAAGGGACTCATACACTTACAGAAAATCTGACTAATTAAAATCTTCATTGAGTCTAGTGAAGCAAAGGCATATATGATTAATTTCACTGTAAAATTCTATCGCCCGTGCCTTGCAGCCCTATTCAAAATAGCTAAGAAACTGAAAAAAATCTCAGTGTCCATCAAGTAAGGAATGGAGAAAGAAAATGTGGTACATATATACAATGGAATACTTTTCAGCCATAAAAAAGAATAAAATCTTATTGTTTGCAGCAACATAGATGGAACCAGAGATCATTACATTATGTAAAATAAACCAGACATAGAAAGATGAGTACAGCACTATCTCAGCCATATGCAGAATCTAAAAACTGTGATTTCATAAAAGTTGAGAATAGAGTGATGATTATCAGAGACTAGGGTGAGTAGAGGGGTGGGAGGAATGGAAGATGGTTGATCAGTAGATATTAATTTACAGTTAGACAGAAGCAAAAAGTCCTGGTAAGCCATCCCATCATAGAATGATTATAGATAATAACAACATACAGTACTGAATAGCTCAAAAAGCTAGAGAAAAGAATCTTGAAAGTTTTTACCACAAAGAAATAGTTCATGTTCAAGTAGATAGATATGTTATCTGGTTTAAACACACACATATCATAAGATACCCAATTAATATGTATAATTTTATTTTTGTGTATTAGTTTAGTAATACATTTTTAAAAAGCAGGGCACAATGATACATGCCTATAATCCCAGAACTAGGGAGGCTGAGGCAAGAGGATTGCCTTGAGTTCAAGGACAACCTGGGCCACATAGCAGCCCATTTAAAAAAAAAAAAATCCAGCATAGTGGCTTGTCTCAAAAAAAAAAAAAAAAAAAAAAAAAATCCAGCATAGTGGCTTCACGTAGTAATGTTTTCAAATATTTACTGAATATTAAGTGAATTCTTTATTTGTGAAATATTTTACCCTATATTTCTTTTAATGTGATGATTCAAACCTGATTGACATTAGAAACATCTGGGGGCTATGTGCAGCAATGTAGGCCTCTAGTCCCAATTACTCAGGAGGCTGAGGCAGGAGGCTACTTGAGCCCTAGGGTTCAAGGTTAGTATGGACGACAAAGTGAGAATTCATCTCAAAAACAAAAATAGGCACAATGCAACATTTGGGAAAAATCTTTCAGAGAAAAATGATGCAGATTTTTATCAGCTGCTTAGAGGAAGGAATATCTCCTGGTACTTGGACAATTATTCCTCGAAGAACTGGAGCTCTATCTAGGAAAACAAACTCCAAACCTCCAGGAAAGATACTCTTAATAGTCTACAACTTGGCATGTTTAGAAAAAAAAGATCCACCTTTCAGAAACTGTATCTCCTAGAATACAGAATCAATAAGAGAAATACAATTAACCCAGTGTTTTATTGTCCAATCCCCAATTAACACACTGAAAAATTTCTTTTTGCAGTCAAGATGAATAATACAGAGTACTAGGTCCTTTTTCACCCACAGTAACTTATGTCACAAAGTAAGAATAAAAAAATAAAAAGGAAAGAATGAGTCAAAGGAAAGAATTGAACAACCAAGATACACTATCCAAAGAAGTTTAAGTCTAAAACTTGGTGCTATTCGTAAGACTTACAACCCATCCTTCATAAGCTGCCTGTTCAATAGCAGGTACAGTACTCTGCATGACAGGAAAACAGAAACATCTAAACTATACCAATCAAATTTTTACATTCCTGAGGCCCCAATAAAATTTAGGATAGTAAGAGAAAACGGTAGATGAAAAACACTAGATGGTCATCAAAGAGAGATTAGGCGGCAGCAGAGAAGATCTCAATGTTTTGAGGACGACAAAAACTGAAGTGTCCTGTCTAAAATGTAGCCTGATATATTGAAGAGAAATATAAAACTTGAAGAATATGCTATCAACTGTAGAAGAAGATCACTAGACAAAAACTAATAGCTGACTCCATAATGAAAGTCATGCCTCGCAGCACTATGAGAGAGTATGGAGACAACAAGAAATACAGACAGTCTCACAGAAGAAAAATGAGAAGGGGCAACGTAGGTAAGAGCTGTTACCTACCTATTAAAGACACAATTATTAAAGTTTTAATAAGGAAGGCTTAAGAAGGAGGACTATGTTGTTTGTAACTGGAAGTTTAGATGTTCTGAAATGAAAGTAACAGCACTCTAATTTGATTTCTACTATGGGCCAGGACACACTCATACAGATAGATACTCAAATTACCAGTTTATCAAGTTCCTTGAAATGAAAGCTGTGCTTGGTATTCTCTTATCTGTTTTGGTCATGTTAACTTCTAACTTGTTGCCAGATCCATCACTTCCAAAACAAAAACCATTTTATCTAATATTTAATTTCTATTCAGTTAACTAATAAAAATATTTAGTCCATTATAATTCTCTGCTCAATAGGCTGTTGAAACTTTGCTTTTAACTAAGTGAAAATTTATTTCCAAATGTTTCTCCAACTCTAACCTTCGGTAATCACATTCTCAGTTCCTACTCAGGTATAGAAAAACTCACTAAACTCAAATGCATTTAAGCAACTTATCTCAAAGGTTTACTCAGCCACCACCCCCAAAGATTCTATCAGCTATCTGTGTCAATTTCTTAACACTGCTACTTATTTCAGTCTCCCTGGGCATCAAATATTCTCCTATACACTGCTTGATCAGAAATATAAAGAAAACTTCTAATTAATTATTTTTTCAGAAATTATTGATGTCCTAAACAATATTGTCATCAGAACAACCCTTTATATCTGTTAGCATGTCTAGTTCCATATTGCATCTGCAAGTATAATTCATTATTGTTTGTGGATTTGTGATCTATCTCTCCTAGAGAAACTTGTAAAAATTTCACTATTACAATACTGCTCCCCATTTCCTGGACCCTATGAGCTACCAAGCCAGTGCCTATGCCCTGCCTTTTGCCTTAATGTTCCCTCACATACAAGTAGAACCTTACTTTCCTATGACAAGATGTAAATGTTTTTTCTCCTAATCCATACTGCATTCCCGAATTTATATTTTTTAAGAGTTGTCACGAAAATGCCAAGTGAAATTTCTATAGCTTTCTCCATCAGTCTCAAAATGAAACTATATGTGAAAGAAAATCAATTAATACAAAAAACTAAGATTTTATTGAGAATATTTTCCATTTAGATATAATTGAGTGATTTTCTTTTACAATACTAAAGGGGCAACAAAAATATATTAAAAATGGACAGAAATACAGTAAATTAAATTAATTATGAAAATGTCAATACCAATACTTTGATAACAGAATTTACAGGGCATGAGAAATCCAAATATAGTAACCATGTATGACCATGATCTATAAAAAGTTATAGCAAAACTGGATTACATACAACCAGAAAGCTTGTTTCTTAAAAAGCAACTTTAAGGAGTAGCTCTTTCTAAATGCACCTGTTTTCTTTTTTTAAAAAAAAATCTGGCATGTACTGAAGCTAATATTCATTCAGTCTAAGCTTTTATGTGTTTTATTTAATAGAATAAATATACTTTATAACAAATTAATGCTTGATTTAGCGTCTATAAAAAACAGTTTGGTGGTCCCCAAAAGCTAAACATAAAGGTTACCATATGAATTCAAAGTAGAAACTTGAGAAGATATTTATAGATCTCCATTTCTATCAACAGATAAGTAGATAGATAAATGTGATATACATTTATTTATTTATTTATTTATTTATTTTGGTTTTTCTCCGGTACCGGGAACCGAACTCACGACCTTGCGCTTGCCAGGCAGGCGCTTTTGCCGCTGAGCTAAATCCCCAGCCCCGTGATATACATTTAAATACATTTATTTTATGTATATGTAGGTGAGCCATAAAAAGCAAAGAGTTTCTGAAACATTCTACAACATATTTGAATCTTGACAACTTTTTAAGTGAAATAATCCTGAACAGAGACAGGGAGAGGGAGAGACACAGTGAGAGACAGAGAGAGACACAGAGATACAGAGACAGAGACAGAGACAGAGACAGAGACAGAGACAGAGACAGAGACAGAGAGAAGGAGTGTATGATTCTACTTATGAGAAATTTATAGAGACAGAAAAGAGTAGAGGTTTCCAGGGGCTGGGAAGTAGGGGAAACAGGGAGTTACTGCTTAATGATTACAGAATTTCTGTTTGGATAATAAAAAGCATTTGGAAATACTCAGAAGTGATGGTTACACAACACTATGGATGTAATACCACTGAACTGTACACAT